CTGCCGCAGCGCTTGGAGCCACGGGGGCTGGTTTGGTAAAACGTTCACGGGGGAGAAAAAAGCGAGCAAGGAGGCTGTGGGCTTCTTTTTAATCACTTCTCAGTACGGAAAGATGAGGGGTTTTGTTATTGTTTTACCTTAGCAAATCTTTAGGAATGGGGGCTGGTTTGGTAAAACGTTCACGGGGGAGAAAAAAGCGAGCAAGGAGGCTGTGGGCTTCTTTTTAATCACTTCTCAGTACGGAAAGATGAGGGGTTTTGTTATTGTTTTACCTTAGCAAATCTTTAGGAATGCAAGACAGGAAAGGTCTGTTTTTGAGACTGAGAAGCTAACGGAGAACTGCTTTGTTTGGAGATAAACATAATTGCGTGCTTAGTTCGGGGGCACTATAGGCTTCAGAGAGAATTTCATCCTGTGCAGGAATGGTGGGAAAAATAACCTTAAAGTTTCTCCATCCTTTTCTTCTGTAGTCGTTGGAATTAACCTGGTACTGGTCCCGGAACATCAGACTCTGCCTCCTACGTTATTTTGGGATATAAGCGTGCAAAGAGAGAGAGAGTCTTCTCCAGCCTGCCCTAGGAAGCGCAGACGTAGCTGCTGAGACTGATGCCGAGGAAGAGCTGACATACGAGATAAAAACTGTTAACGTATACAGAAATGGATTTATGGTCAAGAGTGGCAGTTTGGATCCTGTGTGGTTTTCTCCTGCAGCAAGGGCAGGGGGAGAGGCTTCTGGCTTCCCATCTGGATGAAAGTGCAATTGCAGGTAAGCATAAGGCTTTCAAAATGCTTTTGGTATAATCTTCCCCCTTTTTCAGAATTCAGGAAATATTGGAGAAAAACTACTGCTTTCTAAAACCTGTTAGCTGCTTTAACTGAGGCCTCTACGCTATCTGTTTTAATTAACGTGCTTATGTGAAAGTATTAATGTTCGTAAATCTTCAAATTCCATCAGTGCTGCAGGGGATCAGTTTATCACATGACAGATTTTTCATCAACAGCATATTGTGTCTTAGCGCAACATGCAGTTACAACCGTAGAGCTTTCAATTAGGTTTTCTAACTCCAGTAGTTTCAGATAGATACCTTTGAAAAGGTACAAACTAGTCTGGTTGCACTACTAAATGGCATAGACCCAAGCGGTAGTAAGTACTAACCAGTTTTGAGGATACTGCTCATTAGTTAGTTAGAGCTGCTGCTAGCTAAGTTTTTGAATAGAGTATGGCATTGGTTCTGAAATCTGCGGTTTTCAGGGCAAGGGTTAAAGGACCAAAAATAATCCATGTTTATTTTTGAAATGGACTCCAGTTGTTTGCTAATGAGAATATTTTGTTGTTAATTTTTGATTGTGGCTTGGTCTGTTCAGAAAATATCAATATTTAATTTGTTAAAAGATATTCCTACCAGGGCGCATTACTGGGCTGGGCTGGGCTGGGGCTCAGAAATCTCAACAGTTGCATAACCATAACATGCCTTCAAATTAGCCGTCTTCAGTATCTCCTTTAATTGTCATGCTCTGGGAAGTGAGCTTTTGGCCAGTGAAGAGCAGAGGCAGTGAAAATAAGACAGCTGACTGCTCTGCTTTTTCTTTCTCACCCTTACATCTTCCTGCTCCATCACCATAAAGCCAACAACCAAGGAAAAAAAAAAAAAACCCAAAACAACCCTCCACACTTGGAGGTCTTAGGTCTTGAACGAGACTTTCGTGACCCTCTGTGGCTAACAAAACTGCCAAAAAGCCAGTCTTAGTGAAGAGGTCAGGAACTGGCTAAACCAACATGGACGCTGATCTATCGTATGTCCTTGTTACGGTGCCCTTAGGTCAAAAATGAAGGCATATTTAATAAAATGTGCTGCTTTTCCTGTCAGTAGTTAGGCAGAAATCTTCAGCTCTGTGCTGTTTCAGCAGAACTGAATTCTCACGTGCTCTCAGGAGAAGAAAAAAAAACCCGAAAGTAAATTGTGTCCTGTGAGCACTGCAGATCAAGAATTTGATTTACAGAGTTAAAAATACAAACCCCACAAATGCTAAAATGCTGTTACTTGGATGTGAGCCAGCCTTTATTAGTGTAACTTTCTGCCTGAAAGCGTTTCAGCCAGCAGAGATGTCAGCATCTGGGTGGCTGCGTGCGTTTGTTGCATCCAGAGATGGTCTGGATCTGCTCAGAAGAATCCTGCCAAGCGCAGGTTTTCAGGTGGAATACTTCATCGGTTTAGGGCAGTTAAAAAGACTGCCACAAATGCACCTCAGGGTCCGAATTGCCCGTGTTTGGCGCTGTGTGGATACAAGCCTGTGCCCTCAGAGAACTTTTTAGGCTGATATACGTATTAGTAAGGGCCCTAGGACTATAACTCACAAATTATTTTTGGATATAAAGTCGAAGGTGTATATGCGGGTGTTAACTTTAATGCAGATAAAGTTACCGCAGCGGTGTTGCTAAGGCAGCGTTGCTCTTTGTTTTCAGAACTGGTTCATAATAATAGGGCAAGTCTGTGGAATCTCAGTATCAGACACACGATCAGGAACTTGGTGTTTGATTCTTGAGCGGGGAGATCGTTTCATCTTGATGATACAATGATTTATTTGATATTTTTTCTTTTCAATATTGGCCATGAACTAGCTATTCTGTAATAAGTTGCTTTTTAAATTCTTTATATGGGATTCTCAATTCTTAGGCCAATTCATATCCAGTCTGCTCCACTACAGAAACTGGATCTCTGCAGTCCTTTTGATGAAGCAAGGTTTATGCCTCCAAGGAATTTTCGGATGAGTTATTTTTGGAGGCCCTGCAGAAATGTGGCAGCCCTGGTGATTCAGCTGCTGACTTGCTTTTCCTCTCTAAACAGAATCAATGTAGAGCAGTGCAGGGAGGGGAACAGTGCAAGAAACCTAGTCTCTTTATATCGTCCACAGGTAGGTTTTCCTACAAAAGAAGTACTTTTCATTACTTTTGTTTTTTCACAACTGGTAAGTTTAAAAAGCTGTAGAGTAACACATGTGGCGCCGTGCAAGGGAATAACTGGTTACAGGTCAAAAACCAAAATATGCCGATAAGCACATTGATGAATAGTGGATTTGTTCATTCTGAATGCCAGTAACCTATGGAATAGCTGCACCGTGTACCTCGTTTGGGTACCTGATGGGACTTTTGTGTGCTTGTTGCAATCTCTTAATGCAGCTTAAAGCAAATGTCCTTTAAGGTCATTTTGCCGTTTGCTTTTAAACTTCTAAAGTTATTGCTTGTACTCCAACGTAGTGAACGTACTCAGATAGTGCGTGCCACTTTTTTCCTTATGTGGTTCTCTGGAAGCAGAAAATGAGAAAGGGGTTAATTGGATTCATGACTGTAATAGTACAGGCTTAAGAAATAGAGGCAGGTGTCTGAAAGACTTTGAAAGTGAAACTGTTCATTTTCTTTGGCATGGCATGATTTTAATACTAAAAATTGACAGTGTGGGTCACTTATCTGTAGACCAGAGAGTGAAATTTTTCAGGAGGTGTGGAAAAGTGATCTAGGTAGAAGCAGAAGTGTGAGTTTTAATGGTGTCTGCTGATTAGTTTCGGTTTGCTTAGACTTCAGTGCATACACAAGGGATGCAGTGACATACTTCACTAAATTATTGGTATATGTTTCTGATTCCTAAGATTTTTAAATGGGAAGTGAAAGTGGGTAGTTTTATCCATGAAGGAGAATTAGAGTTGGTGACTGAACTCTAGGGAAAGTTATACGTCAGTTTTTCTACTGGTTTTGACTTGTTTGAAGGCAAGCGTTGCTAATGAATGCCTCATCTTTAATCTTTTCCTGGCTATGTCAGATTTAAGTTTGGTTACGTTCAGAAGTACAGGAGCCATCTGATAAGGTGTAGAAAGTCAGACAGTAGAGTTATGCGTTTTGAAGTTTTCAAGGCAGGAAGGACAATTAATATATAGTCTGATTTTCTAAGTAGCACAAACCCAAAAAGGTGCTTGACCTCCCAAATCTCCACAGCAGCATATTTTTTTGAGCTGAAGCATATGTTTCAGAAAAACATTTGGTCTTAAAGAATTTAAGCAGTGGCCCATCCACCCAGCCGTTATACAGGATGTTCTCATAGTCACCCTGCGGTTATTGTTTTCACCCACTTGGCAAGAAAAGAACCTTGTGGACATCATTATAAATATGCGTTTTGAGTGATAATTTTTGTCTTTCCAGTTACTTACTATATATAATCTGTCAGTTACCTGGTTTCTACTCTATTTACTATAGCCTTTGTTTATTTTTCTTTTGGCAGCGCTCTTCATAAGAGCATCATGAGGGGTTATGTCAAATGCCTTACAAAAGTTTCATGTGTTGTCAATTGTTTTGGTACAAACTTACTAATTTTTTTTGAGATAAAAATTAAAAGTTTTGTATGTTTGGTCTATTTTTCATTAAATCATATGAACTGGTGTCAGTGGTGCTCCTCTTCATTTTTCACTTGATTGCCTTCTGTACTGACCGGTCCTCATGGACTGTCAAGCATCAGTGCTACTTCTGCTGGGGACCTTCAGGCTGAGCTTGAGGTGCATTTATAGGTGTTTCAAGGAAAAGCTTACTAGAAAGGAATTATGCTTTGGATGCTTTGTGGTGACTGGGATTCGTTCCTGGTTTCCTTGACTGTGATACACTTTTATCTACAAGTGCCCACTTTTTTAGATTCATATTTGCTCTGTCTCCATAGAAGTAATATGGAAATAATAGAAGTCTGTGTTCATTTTACACTTGGATTGTTTTATGTGATCTTACATTCACGTGCACGTGAGGCAGTATCTGTAACGTTCTGCTTGCGCTAGGAAAGCTCTTGTCATGTTTGCGTCCCTCTTCTGGCATTATTTAGATAGGCTAGCCATCCTTGTTTGAATTTGTCCCGTTGATCTTTTAACTATTCCGGTAAAGAGAGAGTCCGGTTAGGTAGGAGAGTATGGCCTAGGTTCTGGGAGACGTGCATCTTGTACGCCGAGAAAGTACTCTACCAGAAATCAGAGATGGAGTATAGGTGGGAATAGATCCTCTGGTATGGTGGTGGCACAGTGTGGGGGAACTGGTGATATGGAGGAAAGCGTACAGACTGTGGTGAGGAATTAATATTATTGTGGTGGAGGGGACCAGAGGACATAATCTGTAAGCATTCAGATTTTGTTAGTTATTTATTTCATGGAAAAACCACTTTCTTTTCCTTTCTCATTTGCCATATGTTTGTCTCCTGCTTTCCTCTCTCGATTCCTAGATCACAAGAATTCTGGAATCGTCTTTGCTTTTGTTCGCATGGTATTTAGCACAGGAGATTCCTTCCCCAGCTTGGGGGCCACTATATGTTACCAGAACATAAGCAGTAAAAATATTAACAATAAAAATATTAAGGTGGTATCAGAAGATAACCTGAAAGCATATGCTCAAAGTTATTACATTTGCCTTTGGCATTTTGATGCTTCTTAATTTTATGTGTATCTTAGGTTCAGTGTTTATCAAAATAAGTATGATGAAAGAGACTACAAGAACAAGGTTTCAGTTAGTGTTTAATTTGATCAAGATAAAAAAAAAAAAAGAGAGATTTTAATTCTTAATTCTGAATATGCTGTGTCCAAAGCTCTACAGTCAAGAACTCTTCTAGTTGTGATGCTAAGGTGCAGATTTTTCTGGGAAGTTATCCTGTACTACAGACTCTATAGCTTGAAAAGCAATTGTTTTTCTACTTTGAAGTTGCAATGAAATCTTTTAAAATATGAACAAAACGTGGAGTTACTGCA